TTGTTGTCATTGTTGTTATTATTATTGTTGTTTTTATTACCGTTAGTTTTAATATCAATTATTAGTCTTAGCATTAACATTATGTATTGTTTAAATTTTTGCTGATATTATTATTGTTACCATATAAATAATACAAAATTCTCGATTTTTTTAATTAATATTATTATTATATATTAGTCTTAAGTATTATTATTTTAATAATAGTAATTTTAAAAATATTGTTATTGGTGTTTTATTGGTATTTTTCTCATATTATTATTATTATTATTATTACTAATTAGTATTACTATTATTATAAAAATAAACGTTATCTTTAATTTATTATTGCTGTTATTATTGCTATATTATCACCTTCAATGTTATTATCACTTAGTTATTATCAATTAGTATTATTAAAATAGATATTTAAATATCGTTATTATTACCATATTATTTCTATTAGTATTGTTAAAATAAATATTACTATTAATATTGTTGTTGTTATCCCCTTTATTATCATTATTATGACTAATTAGTATTATTAAAGTAAATATTTGAAAAGGACCGACATGTCACTGGTGAATCACGTCATTGGATGCATCCTTGTCACTGACGGGTTTCAAACATATCCCCCAATGGTCGAACAAATATGAAGGACTGAAGTCTGTCACTCAACAATACCAATTGTTCCTATTGTGGATAATTGATACCAGATGCTGCACCCCACCTAATTTTAACGTAGGCCTAATTCTTGGGCGTGGTTCTGAAGAAAATAGTATCGAAATGCACGCCATCGTGCATTCATTTGATTTTAGTCGGATTCAAAATAAATGTTTAACATTTAAAAAATCATAATGTGGTTTTTCTATTTCAATTTTTTATGATTAGGTCTACAGTATGTACTCATGTTTTATGTCAGTGTTTTAATGTGAACAAAATTAAACATTAATATATGTGTTTTTCTTAATTATTAAGATTGCTTAAATTGTTAATGTTACAATTGTCAGATTTTATTCCATTCTGTAAGTGGCGGGTTTTCTCTGTTGAATAAGATTACAGTGTGAAGAAATGTATACAACGATCTCACGACGATGTGACGATAAGAATTTTACTAAAATATACTGTGTACTTCATTTTAATCATATTGAAGAAAAAGGATGCAGAAACTGTAATACTGTACCGTATTTACATTTCATTTTAATTATAAATAACTTGTGGCCGAGTTGACTTGTGGCCGAGTTAACTTGTGGCCGAGTTGACTTGTGGCCGAGTTGACTTGTGGCCGAGTTGACTGCAGCCGAACTTTTTGTGGCCGAGTTGATTTGTGGCCGAGTT